AGGCACCAGGAGCTGCAAGTCTGAACGTTCCAGGCAAAGAAATGCTGCTCTTGGTCACTTCAGGCTCTTTTCCACTCCTCACACCCGGAGCAGGCGCAGGAAGCGGCTGGTGCAGTGCAGGAAATAACTAAAATCTTTCAAACCTCCCCAAAACCACTCTTGTTTTGCGCCAGGCTCTTCCCAGCGCCCGCACCAGCAGCTCCCTGCCCATTCCCGCTCCTGGGGATGCTCATTCCGATGCACAGTTGATTTCCAGGCTGTATTTGCAGTGTGAAGCTGCCCGGAGCAGCGGTTGGGAGCCGCTGGCCCATGGCGCAGGCTCAGAGCACCGGGATTACCGGCACAGCTCCAAATCCCCGCGCGCTGTGACCCAAATCCCCCATGACCTGAGGCCCTGTGCCAGCAGCACAGTGCCCCCCGGCGTGGTGGTTACAGCCGTGGGGAGGCCTGGTGAGGGTGGATGCACCCACCAGTGTCTCCCATGGGATATTCGGAGGGTGTCCCCTGGCCTGTCTGCTGTGGGGCCCCTCGTGAGCCCCATCCAGCACACTGTGTACCCCAGCGCACGCTGCAGTGGAGGTTTTCCCTTCACCAGCAGCATCAACCCCTTGTAATTGCTCAGGTCCCAGCTTGACGAAGCGCTCACAAAGCCAGGCACTGGCCTCCATCCCGCTCCCGCAAGGCAATTAAATGCCCTCATAAATCCTCCTGAAGTAAATGAGACTTAATCACAGGCTTAAAGCCGAGCCCTGTCCAGCCCTCAGCAGCAGCAAGAGTTTCCCTCAGCCTCTCCCAGCTCCATGAGCCTGTCCTGCACCAGCCATGTCCTGTCCCACTCACCAGGGTCTCCTCTTGCCTTCCCCAGTATCCCTGTCCCTATTGCCGAGGGTCACACATCCCCCTGCCTGGCTCTTGCCGCTTCCCAAGGTAGAATCCCATGGGAGCTGCAGGGTGGGGTGTGCTCAGTGGGAGCTGTGGGCAGGAGCACACGGTGACAGTGACACAAGGGGACAGTTTCTCCACCGGAGGCTGGCATCACAGTTAGCAGGGTGCTCGCATCCTCAGCCACGTCTCCTTTGGGTGGGAAGCTCCGATTGGAGCTACCTGCTCTGCTTGTGCCCCATGGGAGCTCACAGTCCCTCACGCTGTGCTCCGGGTCCTTCCACACATGGCACAAACGAGTCTCTCGGCTCCGAGACTCCTCCAAAGCTCTGCAAAAAGAGAGCAGCAGGTTTGGAGCTGAGGAGATGGAATCAAATGGGTCTGGAGGAGCAGGGGGTCTGCAGCAAAGACCTTCCCCGTGTCCCTCCATCGAGCTCCCCCACCAAATCCAAGAGGAAAATGACGAACCCAGTCACAGACCCCCTCAGCCAGAGGATGTGCAGGTGGAAGAGGCCGTTGGTTTATTCATAAATCATCAGGTAATGAATTATGCATCAGGTGCTGGTTGTGCTTTTGTTCCTCGCCCTCACCCAGTTACTCCATAACAGGCTACATGAAAGTGAGCTCACCCCAAAATGACTGATTTCCAAACACCTTGAGACAGAACTGACATGTCTGGAGAGGTGGCAGCAGCAGCGAGGACACGGCTGGGAACACCTTTTGTGTTCAGTGACAATGGCCAAAGAGCTGCTCTGGTAGGAAGTTCTTCATTTTGTGGAGGAAGGCTCCACGTTCATCAGCTTCAACAAGTGCCCGAGGGGTTCTAGACGCTCCTGCTGGGGCAGTTGTTTCACCAGCTCAAAGGCTTTCAGCCCCAGCTCCCGAGCCTGGGATAAACAGGAAAGACAAAGGAATTGGCAGGAAATTGGCTTTTCTCAAACCTGCAGCACTGGAACAGCGGCTCCAGAGCAGCTCCAGGCTCCAGCGCCCCTTTCTGAGGGTGACCTGTACAAGCTGCTTTGCAGGAGAGTAAAGCTGCCAACAGCGATCACGGCTGGGACCCAGTGGTGCAGACAGAAGAGATTACTAACCCCAGCCCCCGTGCTGGGGATCATCACCTCCCATCCCATGCAGCAGCTCACTGAGCATTCCCAAAGCTGTCTCAGGAAGAACACAGCTGTATTGACTCAGTCTGCACTAAATCCCTCATTTCCCTTGGTAGCTCTTCCAGGGATTAGACATTCTCACAATTATAAAGCTTTCCCTTTTCTCCTAATTTGAATTTGCTTCTTTGTGGCTTCCAACCACTGACTCACATCACTGCGGCTTCCTCTGATACAATGAGGAGACCATCAGTAACCTGGATTTGACCCTCCAGGACACAGGTAGCAGCAGCCCGGGATTTGGAGTGATAGCCTGAGCAAAGAGGCCTCATTTCCACCTGGATTCTGCTCAACACTTCCTCAAAACTGCTTACTGAGAAGGCAGAGAACAGACACTCTGAAGTTAAGGCATCACATCTGGAATTTTTAGCCATAAAAATCCAGGGGTGCAAAAGCAAAACTGAATCACAAGGTCCAGCTGAGTGACACGGCCACTGCAGAGGGTCTGGCTCAAGGAGGACACATGCAAAGCCCATGTCTTGCTCCCTGCAGAACATGTGCCCTGATGGCTAAATGCAGCTTGTGACCAGCAGTGCTCTGCCAGGACATCCCAGGGAAAGGAAGAACCCAGAAAATGTGGAGAACTACAGGATTCTTCTCCTCTGCTGTGCTCTGGGGAGACCCCCCCTGCAGCCCTGATCCAGCTCTGGGGAACAGCACAAGAGGGACGTGGAGCTGCTGGAGCGAGGCCAGAGGAGGCCCCGGAGCTGCTGTGAGGGCTGGAGCAGCTCTGCTCTGGAGCCAGGCTGAGAGAGCTGGGCTGGGGCAGCTGGAGAAGAGAAGGCTCCTCAAGGGGACACCTTAGAGCAGCTCCAGTGCCTAAAGGGGCTCCAGGAAACCTGGAGAGGGGCTTTGGACAAGGGATGTAGGGACAGGCCAAGGGGAATGGCTTTAACCTGCCAGAGGGGAGATTGGGATGAGCTCTGAGGCAGAAGCTCTTCCCTGTGAGGGTGCTGAGGCGCTGGCACAGGGTGCCCAGAGAAGCTGTGGCTGCCCCATCCCTGGCAGTGTTCAAGGCCAGGTTGGACACAGGGGCTTGGAGCAACCTGCTCTAGTGGAAGGTGTCCCTGCCCGTGGCAGAGGTTGGGACTGGACGAGCTTTAAAGGTCCCTTCAACACAAACCCTTCTATGGTGCTATGGATCCACTGTGACCTGATAAGAGACCAACATGGATCCAGTGGGATTTATTAGCCTTGACAGAGGGCAGACCATGAGCAGCTTCATGCAGGGTCACCGAGGCAGTTCTGTCCTTGGTCACCCAGCACTGCGAGGCCATCGTGGACTTGGGAATGGTGCCAGGGGAACAGAGCAACTGGCTCCATGAGACACCATGAGCTCGGGAACAGAGTTAAGCAGCTCCCCTGGACCCTTTCACCTGTTAAAACCTACCTTTGGTAGATCCATGAGCAGGTAGTGAAGCATGGCAAGAGCGTGCAGGACTCTGGCAGTTTCCCCAGGTTGTTGTGTTGGTGCCTGTTCTCTGATGTCTAATATGGCAGTCAGCACTCGGATTCCTTCTACTTGCTGGGCTTCAGCTGCATTGGGAATGAAACAGTCCTGTTGGATGTATGTCTGTGTGCAAGATAATATATTCAAAACTGTCCAATTATCTCTTCTAGACATCAAAGCATTTCTACTACAAGCATCGACGTGGTATCCCAGCTCCATGCAAATTGCACACCCATTAGGAGATATCTTTTCATCCAGTCAGTAATTGTGTTGATTAGCCTTTAGTAAGGATGTGGAGTCATAACAGCTGCATGAAAAGAGCAACTTTCATACTCCTGTCAGAACCGAAGATGGTATTGGGAAGCCCTGTCCTGGGGTGGCTCCAGCTGCAGCGACTGCTGATGGAGAGAGTGCCCACAATGGGGATTACAGAAACCTCTCTTCTCTGACCATATTCTTATTGGCATGGATGGTAGAAAGAACACAAGGACCTGAGCCTACTCCAGGGGAACACAGGGTTGTACCATCCACATGAGCGTAGGAATCCCAGCCTGGTTTGAGCTGGAAAGAACCATCCAGCTCCAACCCCTGCCACGGGCAGGGACACCTTCCACTAGAGGAGGTTGCTCCAAGCCCCTGTGTCCAACCTGGCCTTGAACACTGCCAGGGATGGAGCAGCCACAGCTTCTCTGGGCACCCTGTGCCAGCGCCTCAGCACCCTCACAGGGAAGAGCTTCTGCCTCAGAACTCATCTCAATCTCCCCTCTGGCAGGTTAAAGCCATTCCCCTTGGCCTGTCCCTCCAGGCCCTTGTCCAAAGCCCCTCTCCAGGTTTCCTGGAGCCCCTTTAGGCCCTGGAGCTGCTCTAAGGCGTCCCCTTCAGGAGCCTTCTCTTCTCCAGCTGCCCCAGCCCAGCTCTCTCAGCCTGGCTCCAGAGCAGAGCTGCTCCAGCCCTCGCAGCAGCTCCGGGGCCTCCTCTGGCCTCGCTCCAGCAGTTCCATGTCCCTCTTGTGCTGTTCCCCAGAGCTGGATCAGGGCTGCAGGGGGGGGTCTCCCCAGAGCACAGCAGAGGGGCAGGATCCCCTCCCTGAGCTGCTGCTCACGCTCTGGGGGTGCAGCCCAGCACACACTGAAGCCAGGTCATGGGGAGCTTCTCATTGACCAACACTCCCAAGTCCTTCTCCTCAGACTGCTCCATCTGGTCTCCCCCAGCCTGTGTTTGTGCTTGGAATTGCCCCAACCCCCATCCAGGACCTTCACTCGTCTCATGCATCTTTCTGTCCTAGTGAGAGTTTCCCCAGCTTCTCTCCCACCAGTATTCTCCAGATTAACACATCAAATTATCAGTACACACTATTGCATCGGGTTCAGTTGCTTCAGAAGACAGAGTTGCAAACCTGCCTAAGCGAGATGAAATGTCACTTGCACAAAATTAAATAGAGACAAAGGAGCGGCAGAGAAATGAGAATGTTGAAGTGGAATCCAATGCCCGAAAGGCAAAATCCTGTATTGTTTAAGTTGCTGCCAAGGGCACTGTGAAAACAAAAAGGGCAAAGCAGTGTTTCCACCTGAACACCCTCATTTCTCAAGTGGCCTCATTTGCTCCATCCATCAGACTCCCGAGCACCAACATCAGACCCGTGACTGCATTGCAACTGGGTCTGCGGAAACACCACACAAACCACAACCTGGAGGATGTACGGATTCTCTCAAATCCCATCTCCAACCAGCTCTGTGTTTTGAGGTGCTTACTCATGGGCTCCTCGCTGACTTCCCTGTCCTCGGTCAACAGAGACATTTCCGGTCGCGACTTGAGAACCTGCTGCTGGGCTTGGAGTGACTTCAGGAGAAAGGCATCCCAGGCGGCGGCCACCTACCCGGAAACAAGGGAATTATTTCACTTGATGAATGCCCAGCATTTAGCAACTGCTTGTTCTATAAACACCGTGTCCTGCAGTGCTCAGCCCAGACACAATACCCGGTGTGCTGCTGCCGCTGCTCCTGCTGCTGCTGCCGCCGAGGCGGGCGCTCGCACCGGGATCTCAGTGCTCCCGTCCCAGTGGCAGCCTGGGCTCAGAGCTCAATTCTCCAGCTGACTGTGAAGTTTCATCAAACTTAAAGTAACCTGACTAAATTGTTAATCAAAAGCAGATTGGTTTGAAGGTTGTGGGGGGGATGAGGCTGACGGCACAGCTGCCAAAGCCCTGTTTCCACAGAAAACCAGGCTAGGCAAAGGAAAGCTCTTTTTTTTTTCCCCAGTTACTAGAGTGATTAGATTATTCTTCCCTTGCTTGATCCCCCTGGTCCAACAATCTTTTATCAGTGTGACTTTTATTATCAGTGTAAATTTTATGTGGCTTATTTGTATCCCACTCTTCCCTGGTTATGGCAACTCCTTGGCGACCCTCTCTACTTGTGGTTATCTCTTTAACCTCTGGTGCGGGGTATGTGGTAGCAAAGCTGGTTTGGAACAAGGTTTGGCTGCCCAAATTGAACTCAAATTGAACAACAACCTTTAACCGAGTACAGGATTAGTGTCTCCTGGGCTTAACTCAGGGGAATATTTAAGCATGAAAAGGGTTTCTGAGATTGATCCTAAAAGGCCACACTGGTACTTGATACAATTGCCATCATATTAAAGGAAATCAAAGAGAGGAAAAACCTTGGGAAAAGCACAGGAACAAAAGAGAAACAGCTAAAGAATGAGCTTTGGTGTTACCAACCTCAGCATAGAGCGAGTTTGCTATGTCCATTTTGTTCTGGCGGAAGAAAATGTTAGCCATGTGGAAATAACCTCCAGAGGCCTCAAGAGACTTTAGTCCAAATGCAGAACTAGCAAGGTAAACCTGCAGTCAATATTTAACAAAACAAACCCGAAGTTTAATGTTCATCTCAAACCTGGGACATTTTTCATTATGGATTAATAGTATTGCAAACAATCATTTTTTTTTTTCTGTGTAACTACAATGTGAGTTACACCTGACTGTGACTCTACAATGTGCGACTAAAAAGCTGCGTTTTGGGTTTTATGCAAAACAATACAATGCTCTCAAATCCCGTGGGGCAGAGGAACCTCACTATAGCGTGTGATCCCAGTGAAGCACGGGGCAGGTTTCACAGAATCATAGAATCCCAGAGTGGTTTGTGTTGGAAGAGCTCATCTCAGCCTCCTCTCTGGCAGGTTAAAGCCATTCCCCTTGGCCTGTCCCTCCAGGCCCTTGTCAAAAACCCCTCTCCAGGCTTCCTGGAGCCCCTTTAGGCACTGGAGCTGCTCTAAGGTCTCCCCTTCAGGACCCTTCTCTTCTCCAGGCTGAACAATTGGTATCTGTTCAATCCTGATTTTAGGTACCAAGAGGGTACATTGTACAGACACCGGAATTGTTGAGCCTTAAGGCACTCACCTTTAGCCCAAGTTGTGTTTCACCAGTTATCTTTATTCCCTTGAAGTGACACTTAGACCTTATCTTTACTGCATCTGCTTATCGATTTATCTACCAGTTTTGTTACGGTGCTGACATGAACAGACATTCCAACCCCAAGTTGCCTTTTATCTAACAGATAAGCTACTCCCAATTTTAGCAGTCATTTCCCTCAGTTCTCTGCTGTTAGACAGCAGTTCCCTGTCAGCTGTTATTTAACCAGCTCCTTATTTAACTGTTTAAATGTCTGGTTCAACAGCATTTTCCCCGATTCAATCCCTTTAGCCACAGGAGCAGTCTGTCAGATTTGAAGTGCCATCCCCCTGTTCTTGGGGATGCTTTGCCTGTCATTTGATCCTCCAAAGGCAGATGAACTCCATGACATTCTATTTTTGTCCCATGTGGACTAAATTTATCCAGTGTGGAGTGATGTATACTCACTACTGTTGAATTTGATAGTAGCTTTGTGTGGGTGTAATGATGACATTCAGTTGAGGAGGATTAGATCTTCTCTAGTATAATATATACAGCTCTGTCCTTGCTTAGTCGGTGAACCTTGGGGGAGATTCTCCTCTGTGCCATTGGATTTTTTAGGTATCCTAAATCTGGTGCCCAAAGGGGCGTCAGGTAATAGCTTTTTGCTATTAGCAAGTGGCTGGTCTACGTCAGAGCAGCCTGAGACCTGCCTGAACTTTGGCTGCGTGTCTGAGATCTGCTGAGAGTCACACGCCAGCTCAGAATAGCTGGAATGCACCACTGCCTTCCACTGCCTTCCCACTGCCTCCCACTGCCCTGGCTCTGGCTGCAGTGTGGGAAACTGGATCAGCTTTAAGGTCCCTTTGACCCAAACCACTCTGTGATCCTAGGATGAAATCTGCCTGCTGAGGTTTTTGTATTGACCTGAAGTGTTAGATTAGGAAGAGTAACTGAAGCATTTCTGCATTTCAGTTGGCTTACATCGTTTGCCAGGTGGTATAAAGCCTGTTCAAAGTTTCCTTGAGCAGCACAGAACAGCCCCAGACTACGATGCAATTTGTACTGAACAGCAGCACTGCAGTCTGGGGTTCTGAGGACAATCCACTCGGCTTGGGATAGATACTTTGACGCCTCTGGGAGATGTCCAGCACCTAAAACAACATGTAGAAATAAAGCAGGATGAAAAGCATGTTTTAGTTTAGAAACGTAGAGAATGCTGCCATCTGTGCCTGTGCAGTAGTTCAGTAACAAGACCAAGCTGTGGATTCCCCATGTCTCTCCTGAATGCTCCTTAACCAAGCAGGTGTCCAAAATCTGATTTACGGCCAGGCTGAGTGTCCTGAGCTCCCCGCGGAGCCAGAAGCCGTGTATGGCATTCAGTATCTCCAAGCACGTGTTCCAGACAGGTTAGCTCTGGGCAGCCACTGCTGACTCATGTAATATCACACTAGAATTACTCATGGCACTTTTTCCCCTTCCCTCGCCACACCATTTACGACAATCCTCCAGACAGCTCCATTCTGCTGGCAGAGCACTCATTGTGTGTGCCCCTGCAGTGGTGATGATTTATGGTGATTTCTCAGTCCTTTTGTGCAGCTGAGGGGAGCAGTTCCCCACATGCAGAGTCCTAATGGGACATTTTGTCTGAAGCACAGAGGCCATGACAAAAAGCTCTGCTGCAGGCAGAGTGTGCTTTTGTGAATGAACCGAGGTGTTCCTCTCATGCAATGGCCTCACAAAACGTTTGCTGGTTCCCTGAGATAAGAGCACTACCAACCACCCGGGGGAATTTAATGCTTTTGAGAGTCACAGGAAGCCAAAGAGGGAAAGGACAGGTTTTCATACTGCTTCTCTTGTGGGAATGGGCAAAGAGAGCAAACATTTCATCTGCTTTCACTGCTCTCTCATCACTGATGAGCGGTTCTTTTCCCCAGACCCACACTGGAAAGAGGTGTGTGTGACTCCTCCAATCTCTCTGAAATGCCCTTGAGGCAGGGCAGGGTAGAGAACATGGCACAATGTTGAAAGGCAGAGCTGGTCCTTCCCTGATAAATGCTAAAAGGAAACCAGAAACCTGACCTAAGGGAGGTCTTGCCCTTGCCAGTGTTGCTATTTAGACAATACTTAACCAGTGGAGGCCTCAGCCAAGAGGAGATAAGCAGGCACCAGTTGCAGGGAATCGGAGCCGTACACCTCGATGCCGAAGCGCAGCGCATGCAGAGCTGCCGGCCGCGCTTTCTCGTGCTTCCCATCCCAAACAAACTCCTGGGCTGTGCTGTACGCCACCTCAATGATGTATTTCTGCAGGGAACACAGCAATGGGACACAGTGAGAAAAGGAGTCAAGTCTGCAAACTGTAAAAGTGATTGTAACGTTGTTCGTGTCTGTAATCAACGGATGGAAATTAAAGCTGTCATATTAGAGCCTGGCTTCCACTCCTGCTTCTAGCAGGAACAGCTTTGGACATCCTCTTAGCTCATGTGGTGTCTTAGGAGACAAAGAATCCTTTACACCTACCAAAAAAGGGCTAACAAGGCTGCAGCAATAAAGGCGGTGAAGCACAGAAAATGATCATCACAAGACACAGAAAAGATTAGACAAAGGGGCTGCGGCGGGGGTTTGCTGACGGTAATAACGGTGACTCAGAGAATACGGGTTGCCAAGCTGGTGCCAGCACGGGCACAGCTCCAGCAGCAGGAGACACGGTCTGCAGGCAAGAAGGTTCCTCACATGGTGCTGCAGCTTCCTCCCACCCTTTCTGGGCCTGGTGTTTTGGGCACGGAGTCTGGAAAGCTGGTCAAGATCCAAACACCCCAATGCACTGCACTGCGCCTCGGGGCACCCACTGCCCCAGCTCGGTTCGGTGCTCAAAGCTTCTGCTTTTCTGTATGCTGCCAGAATCCAGAACGTTTCCTGTACATACACAGCTGCTCCCTGCCCCTCGCTGCTCCTGGCAGCCCACATTTGGTCTCTGCACCCTTTGTAGCATCTGACCTAGTCCCCAGCTCCACAAACGTATCTCCATCTGAATGCCTGCTCATTGCCAGGAGCTCTACAGCAACTGTAGGTGCTGTGCCCCTACTGGAAAGAGCCAGGATGATTATTTTATGGTTATTATTTCTCTTTGCTTTCAGCATACCCCTTGCCAACTCCCAGCACTTCTGTGTTGGCTCTTCACACAAGTGGTGCAGTGGAAATGCTGCCTGGAAAGAATCTTGTTGGTGCTGTGCCTCACAGTGCTGCCATGGTAAGTCAGGGAGGCACTTGCCCTGCTCTTGCTAGGAGGCAGGGGCAGGCCTGTGCAGCAAGAAAAATACCATCTTAACTCTTTATGGCCTTCTGTTTCCCGGCTGGGGCTGAGCAGAGGGCAGAAATAACAAATCCCAATGCTTCTGGAGGCCAGGTTTTGGCATTTTGCTGAGCTCTAAGTGCTTAAAGAGGGGCAGAGAGAATCAAGCCATGGGTGAAGGAACAGCTCAGGGACAGGGAACCTCAAGGACAGCCTGGGAGCGTTTTCTGGAGATCCCAGCTGGATAAAGGGGCATCCTTTCTGGATAACAAAAGCTTTGAAGAATGCACCCCAGGGTGACAGCACCCAGGTACAGCACGGAGAGCCAAAAGCTAGGACACCCAGCACCCCCTCCTTACCCCCTGAGCTACCAGCATATAGACAGTGAAACAGCCACACACCAAACCCAAGCCATGCTGGGGAGCATGTGGCACTCAGGAGAAAGTCAGTACATGCTTGGGGCACAGAACAGTAGAAGCAGTTATTTATCAGGCTGCCTTTTCTGTCCATGCCACTCTTCGTCTGATGCAACCAGCACTGGCTTTGGTGCGTGGGTACCAGCAGATTGTCATCTGGGAGGTGCTGGAGATCAGCATCATTCTTTTTAACTCCTTGTCAATGGGATCATCGCTGCTTCTCGTGATGCAAAGTTATCTTAACACATCTGCAGTGAGGACAAGGTGAGGGTTAGAGTCTTGCACAGCTCCCAGGAGGAGAAGAAAGGTCAGGAGACAACAGGAGCCCTGCGGCACTGAATACTTAAGGCTGTGCAGTTACAAGCCTTGGGGGGATCGTTAGCTCTAGCCCTGCACCGTTTTCATCTTGCCTGTAGCCCCACGCCCGGGACCTGCAGGCTTTGAGCTCTTTTCATGTGTGCTGCAATTAGAGAGGCTTCTCTGAAGATGCCCCCAGTTGGGGTTTGAGGAGGCCGAGGACCCCAGCTCAGCTGCAGGTGGGAGCAGGAGGCTGGGAACACACTTGTGGTTCAACACCACGTTCATTTACTCACTCACAGGCACCAAAAATGCTGCCACGCTTGAAGAAGCGATGATTTCAAGAGGAGGGCTTCCAGTGCGGGGTGGGAGCCCTGCAGCCATGGTGAGCAGCGGTGCTGGAGGCTGCAGAGCTGGCTGAGCACGCAGCCTTTCCCGCAGGTGAGGCTATTCTACAAACAGAAACTTGGAGCCGTGTCAGTTTGGAGGTGCTGTCTGCAGGCACCCCCCCGGCTACGTTGACAAAAGCAGATTTCTATCAACAAAGCTTTGGAGTACAGATGAGGTATGAAACTCAGAACCTGGCTCTTGGCTTCATGCACCTTCCCTTAAGCCACAGGGCATGTTGATGTGCACAAGCCTTCCTGGGTCCTGACTGAGGCTCAAGCTGCCTGTTTGCTAAACAAACACCCCGCAGGAGTTTGTGAGCTACAGCAGTAATGTTCAAAAATTATAAACCTTCGGGCAGGCTTTGAGCAGAAGGTTTTTTTCTCTGATCATCAGGAGAACACACAGCTTTCCCCTGAGCTCCAAAGGCCTTTTCTGAAGCATTTTTGTCGGCTCTGTGAATAGGAATGTGAAGAAGCCACAAGAAGACAGGGCATTAAATCATCTCACCCTCTCCACAGCACTCCTGAGGCAGCCCACGCACAACGCTGCTTGCCCTGTGCCTTGCTGTGTGTAAAGGCAGGAGCCAGTTGTGGGCTAGCAGTGGCCCAGCCTTGCTGTGAAGGTGAGCAGGTAACCAGCAAGACGTTTCCGCTTTTTCACTCCTTAGGAAGGAAGGAAGACAGTGTCCCAGCACACTCTGTTCCCAGCACCTATTATATTTCAATAGTCTGGAGACAAAGGTCAGAGAACAAATGTAACAGAGCTGTTGAAGAGCCTGTAAAAACCTCCACTTGGCGGATGACTTTCCCCCCAAGACACGCCAGGGCTCGGCTCAAGCTGTGGCAGTCGCTCTCTGCTCACACAGGCTTGTGCCAGCCAAGGAGCTGCTCTCCCTTCTCCACTGCCTCTGCCCCTGGCACCTCGGGAAAACCAAGGATTAGCTTCCAGCTAATCAAGGAGCACTTCCTTGATCTGGCCTCACGTGGTCTTTTGCAACGTACGTAGCGTGATTTTAGTTGCTCTGCATTCAGTGATGCAACAGCACCAGGGCTCAGTATCAGGTGAAGTTTCTTGGAAAAGCTCGAAGCTGCTGAGGACACAAAAATCCTGCCCCAGTAAGACCCATTTAAACTTTTTTTCCTTCTTTGCAGACTTCATAAAAGATCAGCTTAGAACTTAAACATGAACTGGAACAAAGGAGCTTTCGCAGGTTTCCTGGTGCTTCTGGGACACTGTAACACATCTTCTTTGGACCTTGGTCCACAACCCTGCCTGGGGTTTTCAAACAGAAGGGATTTTCAAAACCGAACTGGAATGATGTTCCTTCCAGCGGCACCCTGGGATCGTTACCAGCTCCCTTTCAGCTGTTCTGCTGTCCTGTTATCCTGCCATTAGGAGTCATGCAGTGTTAGAAGGATGATTTATTTTTCTGGGCAAGATTTTCAGTAGCAGATGCATCTGGGCGGGTTATTTTATTTTATCAACACTTGTGGAAAAGCAGATCCTGCCATCCCATAAACAAAAAAACAAAAAGAGAGTTGAAAACCACTGGGGCTGGAAGGGAGCTGCACATCTGCACCACCCACGAGGCCAAAAAGCGGAGATAAAAGACTGTACTTAGTGGGAAAGGGTGTTTAAAGCTGGGCAGTTAAACAAAGGGAGGGGATTCATTTCTTTGCCCCCCCTGGAAGGGGAATCCCTCCCATCAGCGAGGGGTGAGCACAGCCTGGAAGAAGCAAAACGCAGCTGGATCTCGGACTAACCGGGGAGATGGACTCATTCCTGGCAAGATGAGAGATCCGGGAATGCTGCTGCTGCTGCTGGGAGAAGCTCAGGACTTCGAGGAAGGGCTGTGAAAGGGGCAAGAGGCTCCTAGAGTCAGGCAGAGGACCCTCCACTCCCCTTCTGGTAGAGGCTGTGTTTAAAAACCCAACCCTGAAGCTCTGCAATAAGCACTGATGAAGCAGCGAGGTGCCCTCCCAGCCCTGCGTACATCAAAGGACAGGAAGAAGAGATCTAATGTAATTCCAGTGGCAGCACTTTGAAGTGGATTTGGTTCTTCTTGTACATACCTGCCTCCTCAGCAGCTGCTCCATGCCATGCTTTCTCTCTCTTTCCGTAGGGGGACACGGGAGGGACGTGCGGATTGGGATCAGCAGCTGGCATATTTGCTTGTGGATACTGACCCAGTCAGCTTTCTGATGATCCCTATCACTAACAAAATAAGGGAAGAGTGGTGTCTGTGTGTGCTTGGAAATGCTGTCAGGAAGGGTTATTGCTTTGTGTGTCTTCTGGACTTTCACCCCAAGAATTACTCACAAAAGTCAGCAGCTGTTTGCTCACACAGCACCTAATACACACTTGATATTCCCAAACACAGGAGAGGGCTGGAGCAGCTCTGCTCTGGAGCCAGGCTGAGAGAGCTGGGCTGGGGCAGCTGGAGAAGAGAAGGCTCCTCAAGGGGACACCTTAGAGCAGCTCCAGTGCCTAAAGGGGCTCCAGGAAACCTGGAGAGGGGCTTTGGACAAGGGATGGAGGGACAGGACAAGGGGAATGGCTTGAACCTGCCAGAGGGGAGATTGAGATGAGCTCTTGGGCAGAAGCTCTTCCCTGTGAGGGTGCTGAGGCGCTGGCACAGGGTGCCCAGAGGAGCTGTGGCTGCCCCATCCCTGGCAGTGTTCAAGGCCAGGTTGGACACAGGGGCTTGGAGCAACCTGCTCTAGTGGAAGGTGTCCCTGCCCGTGGCAGGGGTTGGAGCTGGAGGAGCTTTAAGGTCCCTTCAACCCAACCCAGACCCGTCTGGGGTTCTATACACAGCAGCACGGTGCTCTCCTGCCAGGTCACCGTGACTGCGGGTGTCAAAAGCTCATTTAAACCACTCACACAACTCCCGCTACAGTTCACTCTGAGGAAATGTCTCACTTTCAGCTGAGTTGATCCCAGACCTTCTCCTGGCTCCATCCCGGCCATGTCCCTCCCTCTTGGACCTCATCCCTGTGCCATAAGTCCTGGTGCTTGTCCCTGTGTCCTGAGCCTCATCCCGGTGCTAGTCCCTGCCTCTTGCCCTGTCCC